AATAATTTGATATTTATACTACTAAAATATTCTATTTTTGACAAATTCAAACAATTCAAACAAAAAACTCCAACTGACTTAAAATTTCAATGAGGAAGAAGGAAGTGAAGAAGGTCCAATGACTTATTGTTTCTCTTGGACTTCTGTTAAGCCACAATCCAACATACCCATGAAACCAAATGGATCAGCCTTTTTTTTTTTTGTGGGAGAAAAAAATTGGTTAGTGGGTTTAAGTCGTTTTAAATTGTTTGAATTTTGGTTTTTTCTTCTTACTTGAAATCGTGGTTTTTTCTTTTCTGTTTGAGTTGGATTGTGCTTTATTTAATTGAATTTTTTATACAAATTCACGTAGTCTGTTACGGTTAGACGTAAACAGTCACATAATTAGCAGATTATCTGCTGCAGATATATAGTTTGGTGCAATCGAGCATGTAAAGTAAAAACTACTTACGAAAATTCATTTTAGCTTTACCAAATCAAAACATAGTTATTCTACAAAATCAATATACATTAATCAAAACCGCAAAACAAAAATTACCTCAATCAGAAAATTAGTCAGTTTCTTAAATCATATCTTCATTTAGAAAATCGATCACTGAAAAAAGTCGAAGCAAAAGTTTCAAAAGAGTAATTTTCTTTTTCAAAAAAAAAAAAAAATCGTTCCAAAGGAGTGGGACCAAGAAAATGTCAACCCAAAAACTTAAGTTTATGTTCGAACATGAACAAGTCGTCTCCTTCTTCACCAACGCGGCGACGACCTTTTCACCTCCAATCCCTTTCACATTTTATTCCTTTTTTCTCTATAGAAAGATGACATCATTTGTGTAATTAGTTACAAACTCTTCTAGAAGCCTGACTCACTTGTATATTAAGTTCCACCAAACGATTTTTTTTATTAAATGAAATTTTTCTTTCGATATTTATTTCCCACTTGATTCTTAATTCTGACCATAGCTTAATATTTTTATTTTTATTGGAGAGGATGCAGCACAAGTTCTTCTAGAATGTTTTTGAGTTTCATTTCAATTATTGAAATCTTCCCCCTGTAGTAGTGTGATATGATGATCTTCTAGATGAATATGACACGAATTGTCGAGAAAAACAAAAAAAAAAAGATGAATATGACACTTTTATCGTTAACGAATCTTCTACAGTATATCTTTTATATATTTTGTCGCATCTACTGATCTAAATAACTAGAAAGGAAGAAATCAATAATATGACTTAGTTCTTTTTCAAAAAAAAAAAGTGACTTAGTTAATTTAAAAATAAAATAAAAAATACAATATTTTCAAAATGTTTGCAAAAATGTCAATTTTTCAAAAAAAAAAAATTCATTATATCATTTATATTTGGATTAATGTT